CTGCCCTCCGCCCGCTCCCGGCACCGCCGCGCCGGGCCAGGGCACCGGCAGGGCCGGAGGCTGGCGGGGCTGGGGCAAAGCCGGGGAGGAGGACGCGGTCGGATCCAGGGAGCGGGCAGGACGCGGCCAGATGCGGGCAAGGCATTGTCAGACTGAGCCGGGGCACGGGCAGGACACGGCCAGAGAAGGCAGGACGTAGTCGGGGAAGGCAGGACATGGCCAGATCCAGGCAGGACACGGCCAGAGAAGGCAGGGCACAGGCAGGACGCGGCCAGATCCAGGTAAGGCATGGTCAGACCGAGCCAGGGCACGGGCAGGACACAGGCAAGGCACAGCCAGATGCAGGCAAGGGATGGCCAGATCCAGGCTGGGCAGAGGCAGGACACGGCCAGAGCAGGCAGGACCCGCTCAGCACCCTGGCAGACCCAACAGGGCACAGCTCAGCACCTGCTCCCCCAGCCCCAGAGCCCCCAGCTCAGTTCCCAGCCCAACGAGAGGGGTCCCAGCCCTGGCTCCAGCTCCACAGACATAACCTGGTGCCCCAGGGGCCGTCCCCCTCCTGCCCGGCAGAACACCCCACCCAGCCTGTCCCCTGCTCCCCAAGGCCTTGGGGGGCACCCAGGGCCCCAGCATCACCCCGCTGACCCCTGCACTCCATGCAGCCCCCAGCACTCACCATCAGCCCAGGCACCAAGCTGGGGGAAGGCTTTGGACCATCCGAAGACAGAGGCAGTGGCTGGATTTAGCGTTCCAGGTCTCCACCACTTGCCCAAACCCTTTCTGGGGCCATTTGGCTGCCCAGGATCCCACCGTGCTGCATCCCCATCAGTCCTGCACTGGCAGCCCGGCTGTCCCGGAGAGCTCCGTGACTCAGGGACAAGAACAGGATGGGGGGGATGACGCAGGACCCACAGGGATGGGCAGGGACCAGGGTTGCCACTGGGGCACCACCCTGAGTAACCACCTCACTGCCCTGTGCCTCAGTTTCCCCACTACCAGCTGCTGTGCTTGCAGGCTGCAGGTTAGGGCACTGCAGCAAGAGTCAGACCTGCTCTGTCATTCCCCCCACCCAGCAGTCCTGATTTGGGGGAGGGATAACCCAGGACTTCCATGGCAAGGTCCTCCCTGGGGTCCCACAGCACCAGGACCCCAGACCCCACCAGCTCCTTTCAAGACTGTTAGGACAGACAGAGTGGGGCACTGGGGAGAGGAGGGTGCCTGGGCTGGGACACCTCGCCATCACTGGCTGGTGGGGACAGAGAGCCGGGGAGGGCTGGAGACTGTGCCGTGCTGGAGGATGCTGGTACTGCCAAGGTCCCACTTCCCCCCCGGCAGATGGGACCTGGCACAAGCCTCGCACGCGCCCCGGCACTGGCTGCATCCTCCTGGCTGCTGCTTCAGCACGGCTGACAGCAGAAGGACAACGGCAAACCCTCCCCAGCCCCCATCTTTGGTGGGGTTAGGGGACAAGCGGCATTAGGATCTGCTGCCTGGCTCCAACCCCCCCCCAGAGCCTCAGCCAGGCATAAATATTTCAGGGGGCTTGGCAGTTTTGTAATAACCGGCAACAAAGATAAACACCGGGAAGAGCAATTTTTCCATGTGGGCTGGAGGAGTTTAATATTTTATCACTCAGAGCACAAAATATTTATGAACAATCTCATGTCAATCACTGGCTGAGGACTAATCATGACCTTTCCAAGCCAGGGAGGACACATCCCCACCACAGCAGGACAGCCAGGCCTCCCCTGCCCCTTGCACCCCCACCCCAAGCCTCGGTTTTGGGATGCCACATCTGACTGCCGGGGAACAAGCCCTGGGCTGCCAGAAGCAATGGGTGCACCGGGGCAGGGGCTGAGCTCTGCCAGCCAGGTGAGGAGCTCTGGCACCTGGCATTGCCCCGGGGCACTGTGGGGGTGATGTCCAGGCTGCTCCCTCATCCCCAGCTGGGGGACAGGGAACTGGGACCAGCATGGGCAGCCCTCCCTGCCTGCACCCCATTGCTGCGGGACCAGGCAGATGGGATGCCGGGGAGACACCGCACAGACAGGCTGGTCCCTGCTGCCACAGAAGCAGCACAGCGGTGCCAGGCCCACCGGCAGCGCAGGGACCTGGCTTTACTGGTTTTACTTTCAGCAGGGTCCCAAGAGGAGCGGGGATACCACCTCCCTCCAGCCCAGCCCAGCTCAGCACGGCGGCTGGGACCCTTCCCCGCTCCCCCTGCAGCTTGCAGAAGTCAGGGATGGTCCCGGGGCCCCGCTGGGTTGCCCGGGCAGGGAGCAAGCACCAGCAGCAGGGATGCAGAGCCCCGGGGCAGCTCCCTGGCTCAGTTGGGGGGCACGGGGGGGGCAGCCCACCAGCAGCCTCCACCCACAGCCCGCTCCCCCCACGGGGCAGGACGACGCGATCGGCCAAGAGGCAGTCAGCAATGCCACCGGCCACGGGTGAGGAAAAGCATCCACTTTATTACAGACCTCAAAAGCGCCCGTGGAAGTGCCAGGAGGATCAGGTTTACACGGGATGTTTCCATTTTTCAGCAAGGGGAAGAGAAGAGGGGAACAAACCCAACTGACCCTACTCACGGCTCTTTGGTGCTAGAAAACACGCGGTGGTGCAGCAGAGAAGCTGTGGGTGAGAGGGGCACTGGCAGAGATAAGGGGGGACGCTTCTGCCATCCACCACCACCCCCCCTGCCCCGAGACACCTGCATCCAAAGACACAAACAGCAAATGCATTTCGCTGTCCCCCCCAACCTGCACCAACTCCACACCTCCGAGCGCTGCAGGAGACCCCCCCACCTCCCAGCATCCCCGAAACGGTCAAACACCCTTTCTGCAAAGAGGGAGAGCAGGTCGCAGGGGGAATCAGCGACCAAAATGTCTTGGCTGGAGAGGAAGGAGGTGGGAAAGGCAACCAGTTCCCAGTAACTCAGACCCCGGCAGGAGGTGAGGCAGCCAGGTCTCCGCTTCACTCTTCTCCTCTCTCAGCAGCGATGGGCTCCTTGGTCCACTTGTCTGTGACCTCCTGGTTGGCCGCGCAGCCCACGTCGGGCAGCAGACCTGGGGCTCCCTCCCCATCCCCGGTGACCTCCAGGTCCAGCTCCTCAAAGGAGGAGCCGCTGGCTCCCGACTCACTGTAGCTGTGCTCGCTGCGGTTGTCTGCCTCCTCCCGGCCACGGCTGGCTGGGAAGGGCAGCAGGATGGAGGTGGCCACCGAGGTGTCTCTGCTGTCAGTTGTGGCCTCCATGCTGATGGAGCTCGTCTCACTCATGGTGTCGGCCCCTGGGATGGAAAGAGAAGGGAAGGGAGTGAATGCTGTGGGAAGGAGGCAATGGGAATGGCGTGCCACGGCCTTCAAAGCCACCAGAAACCTCAGAGACGTCAGGCCACAGTGGAGCCCAGCTCCTACCTCATCACCTCCTGTGCCTTTGAGAAATGACTGGGCCAAGACAAGCACAAGTTGGACTCAAGCAGCTCCCTGAAATCAGGGCACCCCCAAGCTGGCACAAACAACCCCTGACTTCCCAGCCGTGCCCTGACCTCCTGGCCATGCCTGGCCCCACTGCCGCTCTCCGTGCACACACTGAGGACCTGGCACATCCTTCCTTAGGGAGCATGCCCAGCCTGGGAACCGGGGGACAACGCTGCCCCCAGCACAGCACCAGGAATGAGGCAAGGAGCTGGACGCTGTGCTGCGCGGGTGATGGGGAGCTGCAGCATTGCTTGAGCACCCAAGGGGAAGGTGGCACGTGGGCAGGTCCTCAGATGTGCTGCCGTCAAAGGCGGGTGTACGTCCAGCCTCATGCCGTGGCACCCTAAGGCTGCCCTGTAACCCACTCCTGCTCCCTGCGTGGCTCCCCGCAGCCGTCAGCTCTGGCAGCAGTGCGAAGGCAGGCAGGGCAGCGGCAGACGGGACTTGGGGTGCCCAAGGATGGGGGAGCCTTCCCAGCTCGCTCAGCATTCTCCATGTCAGCCAGCTGCCAGCCCACACCCCCTCTTGCAGCCGAGTGCCCCCGGGGGCTGACCCTGCCTGCCTGGGCAGACCCCTCGGCCCACTGCCGCCTCCCCAAATCCCTGCCTTGTTAGCTAGGTTGACAACACAATTAAGGAGTCGACAATGAGATGAGCGTGTCAGATTGAGACCAGCAGCTCAGTGCTGTTGCCGGAGCAACCAGCCGGGAGACAAAACCCTCCTGTAAAACATTAATCACTGTTAATTATGACATCACAGATCCACATGGTTAATTATGACATCACAGATCCACGTCACTGATTACGACATCACAGATCCACATTGTTAATTATGACAGTGACAGCAAACACGGGGCGGGCTCTTCCATCACAGCCCTCCCCGCTCCACCCTCCCTCTTCCAGCCTGCCTTGCACCAGCACAAGCGCGTGCCGGGCTCAGCCGCTTTTCGGCACCTCCACTCCCCCGGGAGCTCCAGCCACACCGGGACGGACACCCCTGCCCACGATCATGCTCCACACCAGGAGGGAAGCCAGGAGGAGCCCCGCTCAGCAGCAGCACCGGCGGAGGACCATGGCTTGCCACCAGTGGGGCCGGGAAGCGGCAAAGAGGACGGTGATGACCGTGGAGGGGCTCCCAGGCGGGAGAGGAGAGCCCTCTCCTCCGCGCTGGCTCCTGCTGGTGTGGCTCCATCCCCAGCCGCCGGCACGGGGCTGCCCCGGGCTCCCGCTGGCATCTCCAGCCTCCCTGGTCTCCTGCAGCTGGGGTGCCCAGGGCTGGGCTGCTCGCCCTCCTCCAGCTGCATGGCAGTCACTGATCTCCTGGAGGAGACCTGACAGGGAGGGAACTTTCCTTCCAAACACCCTTAAATCCCTTTTTTTGCTGTTTTTCTTCCCGGCCTGGGCAGCTGCCAGCAGAACTGCTTGTAAATGGCAGTCTTCTGCCTTCTGAGTGGCATCATCCCACAGTCCTGCCGGCTGAGTGAGGGCTGTTCGGAGAGGACCGAGTAGTGGTAGCAGGACGAGGAACAGCCGGGAAAGACCCACAGACACAGCGTACCCGCTGCTTCATCCAAACTGGATGGTGTATCGGCTTCATCCTGCCTGGTGGGCGCCCAGAGAGGAGCCTGAGCCTCCACCCTCTCGCCTTGGCCATGGCATGCAACCCCTTTGGCAGCTGGCACAAGCCGAGCTTTGGGCTGCCCACCCAAGCAACGCCTGCTGACCCCCCCATGAAAAGGAGAAAAGAACCATCGCCTGCCAACACATGCCACCTTTGCTGCAGCATCAGGGAGCACCTCAACATGGAAACTACATTTACTCTAAGTTAAAAAGGATGTTCTGCACGCTGCCAGCGAGGCACTTGCTGAAGGAGATGGCGGCCACTGAGCAGGCGGCACAAAGATGGGAGATGCTATCCCACCTGGCAGGACCTCGGCAGGGCAGTGGGTCAGCAGGGAGCCTCTGGGAAGATGGAGAGCTGTGGGGGACAGAGGGGAGTGTCTGGCCGCCGAGCCTTGAAGCCAGCTAAGGGTTTGCAAGGTCTCTAGCGAGGATCTCAAAAAAAAAAAAAAAAAATCCATTTTGGCCAAATTGGTGGCCTGAGGTGACACAGATATGTTCCCACCATGGCTTCATGACAGCTCACGTCATTTGTGGTCATCTCACGTCCCTCTGAAACCCAGGACAAGAGTGACCCTGAGCCCCCAAGCTGTGCCTTGTCTGCACAGCACCCCTCCTGTGTCACCCCAGGGTCTGTTTTGGCTGGGAAGCCGTCATGTAACCCCATGCCACAAAGCAAAGGAGCTCCTGAGGAGAAGAGCAGCAGCTCAGGAAGGGGAAGATGGGGATGAAGCTGACCTACACGCTGCTCCGAGCCGCCACATCAGGAAAGCACCACTTTCCTCACCCCTGCAGCTGCCTCCCTCTCCCTTGCTCCAAGGGCGACAATAAATCGAGTCCTGTTTCCTTTCAGCCAGGCACTTTTTCACTGCTCTGTCACTTCTGATCATGTTTGAGCAGCCTCAGCTGGCAAATTTGCCCATTTCAGCAGACTCGTTCTCCTCTGCGCAGGACAAGGCTCGCTCTGGCATGGCCACCCAGCCTGGCTGGGGTGGGCAGGGTGAGAGATGGAGCCGCTGCTGCTGGGGACGGTGAGGGTTCAGTTCTGGCAGGGGGATGTGGCAGAAACCCCCAGCCATCCCAGCACAGCCTGGAGAGGCCAGGCAGGGAGTGCAGCGGGGCTCCAAGAGGGCAACTGAAGCTTCATTGGGAGGTGCCTTGCGGGTGAGCAGGGGGTCCGCTCTCATCTCATGGGCATGGAGGTTTCCAGCAGCCCTCATGCTCACTTCTCCACCCTGCCCCACGCGTCTCACTCGGTCCCCCAGCGAGCCATTGCCCATCTCCTGCATCCCACATCCCAAGGCCAGTCCCTGCACCAGGAGCCAGCCCAGCACCTGGATCCAGCATGGCTTTTCCCTCTGGTGTGCAGTAAGGTGCCAACTGTCCCGTGGAAACCGCCTGCCTCTACTCTGCTCCTCCGAGAACAGTGTAGCTATCCTGCTGCACCTTCACTCAGCAGGAACGTGGAAACCAGGAAGTTTTAATTTGGGAAAAAAGAGGCACAGCCCACGGTGAAGCCCTGCTGGGGTGTTGAGGGGCCCTGCAAAGGCCAGGGCCACCTAGGAAGAATGGAAGCCAAGTAGCCAACACCAAAAGACCAGCCGGGGATGCGTACAATGGGAATCACTCACCCCACACAGCTAACGAGCCTGGTGGGGAGCCAGCATCCCCAGGCAGCTCAGCCCTGTGCCGCCCTGGGTACCGGCATCCCCAAATCCCCCTGTGAAGGAGGACCAGCTCCCCTCCCACATCGCCCCAGCACGACACTGATGCCCAAGCATTGCTCCCCTCTTGGTGCACCTGGGCCCTCTCTTTCCCCACATTCAATCAAATATTCATTGCCCCTGCCGCTAAATAATAGATCAACGCGCTGCCAGGAGGGGCACAGCTCCTCCGTGTTTGCCGAAGCTCACACACAAGCCATCCGGAGAGGGGCTGGGGCAGGCAGAGCAGCAGGAAGGCACAGCAGGATCTCCGCGCTGAGACCCTTCTTGGATTGTACGGGCGAGTAGCACAGGCAGGGCTCTTTGGAGGTTGGAAGCAAGTTGGGATGAGGCAGAGTACATCAGAGAAGGTGCCCCCCCCGTGGCACTGGGGCTCAGCAGGTGATGCCATCGGTTGCACCCAGACACTGCTGGACAGACTCAGCTCCAGGAAAATGAGCACCTGAGACACTGGGCAGAGCCACATGCTTAGAAACCATCTGTGTTCATGCCAGTAAGCCCATGTTGAGAGGCTGCTTTTGTTTGCTTTCACCTTCCATGCGCTGCAGCGGGGTCACGCTGGAAAGCACGCTGCTGAGAGCGAGCCGGGAGCGAGGGCCTGCTGAGCACCATGCTGATGCCAAAGCCCCGGAAAATAATTAAGTACAAAACAACTAATCGTGATTGACACTGGCCCCCTGAAGACCCATCAGCTGCCTTCCAAAAATGCTTTCTGTCTTTCTGATGACCCTGACGATGGTTAAGAAGGGACAGAATTGGTGAGGAGGCAGCTGCAGCCCCTGGCCCCTTCCTTGCATGCCGTGTGTCCGTCCTCAGCAGAGCTGCCAGCACCCTGCTCCATGCAGAGTAGCAGCAGAAAGCAGAGAACCTGGACCACGTACCGCATCCTTTGCAGCCACTGGCTTTGCTTGGAGACGCAGGCACTCAGCACCTCACAGGTCAGCTCAGGAGCAAAGACAGCATACGGCAGCCTAAATGGAGAGATGCGCTCCAAGGTCAGGAGGCTCAGGAAAACAAATCCAAGCTTTTTTTACACATCCAAGTTGCTCGGTACCGCCTGGCACTAGCCACGACAGGCGAGGAGAAACGGCAGCACCTTCCGCTGGGAACTCCTGAAGTCTTTAATTCGAGGAAAGTGTAATACAGCTGCTGGCGGGGAGTTTCATGAGCCGTGACTGAAAGGTGCTGCATCCACACAGAGCACTACTAAATATGATGCTCACTCTGAAATCGCACGCTCAGTGCTGTTTATTTCAGTATTTTGTGAGGCGGGGGGGAAGAGCGGGCTTCATCTGCTGCCACATCAGGAGTGAGAGCCCCAGGCTGCCACGTGTAGAGCATCCTCAGCTGCCTCAGGGAGAGGAAAAGGGGCTCAGCACTTCCCCAGTCCCCCCTGCTCGCCCTGAGAGGCAGCAGGGTGTCAGAGCCCAGCATTTGGATTTGCACAGCTCAAGCACGGCCAGAGGAGCTGAGTGCCACCAGCAGGGACCACCACCCTCTCCCATCCTCCCAGGAGCATCCCAGCACTGCCTGAGCCTCCGTCGGGGCAAGACCACTTGAAACACTGGCAGAGCTGAGGTGGATCGAGAAATAACCCAAATCCATGCAACTGGGGTTGAGGGGGAACTGAAGTGAAAAGCAGATGGGGACATTGCTGTGCCCACCCTCCAGCTGGCAGAGGAAAGCTTGAAAGCTGTCACAGAGACCCTGAGACCTACTGAGTCATGAAGATCTTACGGCCATCATGCCTGTTGAAGGGGCTGTGGCTAAGCTGACCTTGCTCCTTGAGCAGCTCCCCAGGGAAGAAGGGAGTAAAAAAAGATGGGAAAAGAGACTGGGGCTTTCTTTTCCTCCAACTCAGAGGTGGCTGCACAGATCCCAGCACAGAAAATACTTGGGAAGGGAGGACCAGTCTCAATCCGCAAGGCCTCTCCTTCACGGTGTCTCCCTCAGTGTCTCCAGCGAGCGGCTGGGCAGAGGGGAGATCTGCCGGCTGCTGCCTCCAGCAGGATCTCCTGCCACACCAGGGCTCAGAAAACCCATGCAGGACTTTGGTGGCGAGATGTGGAGCCCAATGAGACTGGCTGCACCCTCCTACCTTACCTCCCAACTTTGACCCTGCTGCTGAACCAGCGGCAGCCCAAGGGCCACTCGATGGCTGTGGCTGGGGCAGCACCACCAGCAACAAACCGAGTCTCCAGTGCCAGCAGGCCAGCGGCAGTGGGACAAGGATGCTCACCATGCACCGTTTCCCTTTGAACAAGCCCAGGACATCCCCACGCGGTGCCACCCTCCCCAGCTGACAGTGATTGTGCTGGCCTGGGGCACTGCGACATCACGGAGATGCAGGAGATCACGGGGACCTCCAAGACCCTCAGGCAGGAGCGGCACAAGCAACCTGAAGGCTTGTCACGTCCTCGGCCCTCTCCAACAGCCGGAGCAAGGATGTGATGCCCTGCCAGACCTGGTTCTGCCACTGTGCCCAGTAGCAACGGTGATCACAATGCGACATCCAAGCTCAACTCTTTAGTCTCAGAGGCAAGGCCAACCTCTCACAGCTATTATTATTTTAAGCTGGTTTTGTGCAGACTCAGCAGATGACACTGCCTCAGATTGCACCAACAAAAGCGCATCTACGTGACTGGAAGGGGAGGGGTGGTGGAGGAACCGGCCCAGAGCTGCTGCTGGGGAGCCCAGCCTGGAGTCTCCCACATGAGAAAGTCGAATATCATTTGCTGTCTGAAACTGGGAAGACCTTCTCAGCCCTTCTTCCAGCAGGGCAGGGGACTCCCCCACCACAGGTGTTCTGGCAGTGGCATCCCAGGGAAAGCACCAAGACAGCTGGGCCACAGGGCAGCGGCTGCACTGAGCATCCTCTGGCTGTGCTGCGGGATCGTGCACCCCCATGAGCAGTGCAGAAAGAAACGCACACAGCTGCTGAAGCCACCGACCTGAAGCATCTTTTCCTCACGTGGGTCCTGCCATCCCTCTCTGAAACCAAGGGACAACCATGGGAAGGTGCCAGGGCGAGCGGGCTGCAGATTTTCTTTGGCCAACCTGGGCCAGTGCCCAAAGTAGCCACCCTGATGCAAAGCAAAAAGGCAAAGAGCCAAGTGAGCACCGCAAAAACATGGGACCTTGAAGCGCTGGGAAACCGCTCAAATTAGACTCTTCATTGCAGCACTAAATGGACATAGCTCCCAGAAAGCAAATCCCAAGCTTGCTTTTACACTGCACACAATTAAGAATTAAAGCAACCCAAACCTGAAGATGTGTTAAACCAAATGACCAAATTCCCTGGGAGGTGACGAGAGCTGTCATGGTTTTTTCATGCCCGTTACACAAGAGTGGGTGACCTGCAGGGCAGGAGGAGGTGGCTGCCCCTGCCAGCGGCCGGCTCGGCCGTGCCGTCCAGCGCCTGGGAATGCTTGGTTAGCCGGCTCCCGCATCTTGCAGACATGTGAGCACGTGGGCCGGCAACGGCAACTAGCATTTCGGGTTACTATAGCACTGCTGTTCTGCGCCTACAGCCATTGTGGTCCCTTCCTGTATGAATACATCCAGGCTCCAACAGATCTCGCTGAGCAGATGCAATCGGGCAACTCCACCACCAGCTACAGCAACCTGGTATTTAAGCTCTTCGCAATCCCAATATGTAACAGATGAAGATGAGATCAAGGAAGATGTATATGACAAGGAGAAAAACAAGCCCAGCTGCAACCAAAAGCTGTGAGATCCAGCTCTGCTCTGACAACAGCGGGCCAGCGGATCGGCGGCAGCTTCACCCTCACCCCAATGCCGCAGGGGTGCCTGGGTGCTCCCTGAGGCACGGTGTGACACCTCAGGGACGAGATCCTATCTTAGCTCAGGGTGAATGGAAGAGGTGGGCTGAGACTCAGTGGTTGGGCGCCAGGTGGGTGCAGGTCGATCCCTCTCCGCCTGCTCAGAGTGCAGAACCAGGGACACCAGGATCCCCACCTTTGGGAAGGCTGATGCCGATCGAAGATGGAGCCCGTGCGCAAGCCACAGATACCTGTGATATCTGTCCGGGAGTCCTCGGCCTCAGCTGCGGCAGCCCTGCTCTTTCTCTCCAGTTCTTTCATTTCAGGCACGTAGAAGTCCCCTTGGCGAGCAAGAGGACACACGAAGTAGATGCGGTCCTCCTTGTAGATCTCTATCCGGGGGTGGGCACACAGCTTCCTCTCCTGAAAGACAGCAGGTGACCACAGATCAGGGAAGTGCCCTTGCCCCCCGCCCCAGCAGCCCCCGACCACGTGGACTGCTGGCCTGGCAGCACCACAGACTGACCCACTTTGCCCACAGACATGGGGGCCCAGTGAGGAGCGGTGGGTCCCATCCCGAAACTGCAGTGCTGCTTTCCCTATCACAACAGCCCCCCACGTGCCAGGGCTCGCAGGTTTGGCTCTGGGGGTGAGCAGCTGGCTGCGGTCAAGAAGGAGATGCAGAAGCCCCAGGGATACTCAGCTCCTCCGGCTCAGTCTCGTATTTGGTGTGCTCATTTTGGGCTGGAATGAGGGGTTTCGGGGAGCCCAGCAGCTGCTTTGCATGGACCTGCCAAGTCTCCAGTTCTTCCTGGCAGCACGGCCCCACGAGCAGGCGTAGCATTTCTCTGCTAATTAATATAATCCAGAGCTGACAGCTCAGGCAGCTCCTTTCAGAACGGCGAGGGCAGAGGGAGTGGGAGATGAATCCCTGGCATTTCAGACAACTCCCCCTCCTCCTCTTCCTCACCCCATCTCCCCCCGGCAGCACACTTCAAGACCTCAGCCCCCCCCCAGCCTGCCAGGGACCCGTGACAGGGGCATGTCCCCCCCGGGCTGTGCCCCAGCCCACGCCGAGCCGGGGCTGCGGGGACTCTGGGGGTGCCGGGGCCGGGCCAAGGAGCAGCTGGACCCCTCTTGCCACCCCCTTCTTGCCCGCCTGCCCGCCAGCTGCTCGCTGGCAGAGGGGGCGGCTGATTACAAGCCGGGTGAGAAGGGAGAGCGTCTCCTCAGTGGGTTTTCTTTTTCATTCTTTCCCCTTTTCAAATCACTGACAGCTTTTATTTAACCCCACAACCACCCCGATTATCCTCCTTTTCCTCCCTGCCCCAACTATCTTCTTCCTCCTCCTCCTTGCCCTGACTATCCTCCTTTTCCTCCCTGCCTCAACTACCCTCATCCTACTCCCTGCCACATCCTCCCCGGCATGGCTTCCCTAGACACTCTCCGGCAGGGTCCCTGTCCTTGCAGGGCTCTCTGAAGCCAGGGCAGGCCCCTCTCCAAGGACGAGCTCTATGGACACATCAATCATGACCTTATGAAAGCCTGTTCATTCCTGAACCCCTTCACCCCTGGGGCCAGCCCAAGCTGATTTCAAATTATTTATTTCCCAGCCAAACGACAGCACCGGGCAAAATCCACAACAGATGGGAGCCAACGCCGACCCTCTCCCCTGTGCTGGCAGCAAGGCCACCTGGAGAGCCACCTCCATGCTGGCAAGATGCTGCGCAAGCAAGACAGGGAGAAAACCCCACGTGAGCCGTTTTCATGTCTATTTTCCCGGGAAAGCCTGCAGGAGCTGGCTCTGCGGAGCCCCAGTTTACCAAGCAGCACCACAGCAGCAGAAACGCGAACCCCAGCAGAAGCTTTACCCGTCCCAACGCCTTCAAGCCTGAGTTTTGGCAGAGTCCCTCCTCCAACTGAGGAGGAACCACATTCACAAGCCCCGTGCCGCAGGGACGCGCAGGGACGCAGGCGGGCTTCCGAGGTGCTTGGAGCCTGGAGTTCCCACTCACAGGCAGGTGAAACACTAACACACGCAGATCAAAACTGTATTAAATAAAAACAAGCTGGGCTGTTTTTAGCAGCAGAGCAGAGGCGGCTCCTATCACTCCTGCTTTTTCAGCAACAACGCAGACAAGAACCCTCCCCGCTGCTCTGCCCCTTGCTCTACCAACCACAAGCCCATCAGCCAATCTTCAGCTCAGTTTGTTATTTTAGGTTACTGCAACACATACCAGAGATGGGTATCTCCAAGATTCGCAGGTTTTTTGGATGCATCCAGCTGGCCCTCCACCACTTAATGCAGACAGGGACAACTCAAAGGATCTCAGAGCAAAGAGATCTTTACTAAATTCATATGGGGTCTCTAACGAGTCTAAAACCTCAGGGCTCCAGTCCAGCCTCCAATATCCCAAGCTGACTTCCCAAAACGCAGCCTGGGATTCCTAAAGAGTGGATCTGGGATGTACCCTCTTCCTACAATTTATCTAGGCTGCTAGAACTCCCCTTCCAATTATACAGCCATAGTAGTGACACCCCCAACGCTCAAACAATGGCCCCTCCGCAGACACAAATGTGGGAATCGTAGCTTTTTAAGGAATAAAAATGCACACCTGTATGAAGAGCAGGGTCCCAGACTGGCTCTTGAGACAAATGCTGCTTCACTCTCAAGGATTATCCTGTAAGAGAGATGAGGATGCTTCACCCTGCCAGGGTGGGAAGCAGCTTTGTCCCCCTGAAGCCAGAAGAGCCCCAGTGCCCTGCAGCCAAAGCCCACGGTCGTGGACCAGGTCGGTGGGATGACGCTAAAATGGCCGGACACTCACTGTCAATACCAACGCCTGCCGTGTTACGGAGAGCTACAAGGATGCTTAATACTTGACTTCTTCCCAATTCATCCAGTGTTTTCCCCAAAAGAAAATGGAGGGAAACCAGAGCCTGGTGGTCCTAATTTATGCCTGTACAAATCAAGTTGGAAGCCAGGCTAGTGAGCTGGCCTCTGCTTCCGCGCTTCTTCCTGGAGCAACCCAGCTCCTGGCAGGGCTGCTGCAGAGCTCAGCACTGGCAGCCAGGCTCAGGAGAGGACAACATCCCCAAGAAAGAGCAAGGAGGTGGCAGCTGGGAACACTGTCCCGTCCAGGGTGGGACCAAAGGGATGAGGCTGCATAAAGACTTGAGGAAAGGACAGAGGCGATGAGGTGGGGAGCCAGGACAACAGAAATGGATAAGGGATCATCCAAAGGGGATGCAAAGGAGATCGCCCTTGTGGTCATCCCAAAGGAGATCAGGAGGCAGGCAGAGGCCAGGCAAACACAGGCAGAGGTGCAGCAAAGTGCAACCAAGAGGCAGGTGTCAGCACAGGACAGAGTGCACTTAGGATTATCCCAGCAGAGACGAAGGCTGCAATGCTGCTGCAAGGGAAAGAAACAACGGGGAGAGACGGGAAAGCAGAGTCCAAAGGCGAAGGCGTAAGCAAAGAGTGAATTAACGAAGGCTTAACAACATGGCAAAACAACAGAGACACTCAACAGGCAATAATACATTCTGCAGCTGAGAAGGAAGCCCCTTGCTAACCACGCAGCTAAGCCAACAGATGGAGCTGCAAGGTGGATGTGGAGTTTGCAAGGCAGAGCCCTTGAGTCAAATCAAATGCAGTCTCACACGGGTGGAGGAGCTCAGTGAGAGGTGAACAGTGGGACACTGACGGTGTCGGGGCCAGGCTTCCGGCTAGGACAGCAGGACCTGGTAAGTAGGGCAAAGAATGGGACTTGTCCCTTCACAAGGTCATGCTGTGCCACGTCCCTTCTCACCCTCTGCCAGGAGCTTGTCTTTCCTATGGCCAGAAAAGATGCAAGGCTTATTTCTATGCAGGACCCTCGGATGGGCACTAGAAGCATGGGACTTATTGCGCATACAGTCAAGCTACACATACACAGCAAAGGCCAATGCATTCAAAGCCCACCAGTTCAGTCCTGACATGCACAGCAGCTCTGGCATTCTGCTATGTCAGACCCACTGCTTCCCATGAAGCCAACCCTTTCTTGGCCCATCCGAGGGCTGTGGCGGGGTGCTGCTCACCATCCTCTTGGGAACAAGGGTTTATGTAGGGAAAGAGTCTTGCACTCCTCTCTCCCAGGTGAAATAACACCCTGCCCAATCTTTACACCTGGGTTGTTTCCAAATCGCCCACCATCCCTGACTCCCTGTAGGACTTTCTCCAGGTTGGCTTCATCCCTCTAGGTACGGAGCACCCCCTGGCCTCATGCATCAGAAAGGACAACAAGTATTATGCACCAAACCAGCACTTCGGGACACCTTCCCCAGCAGCAGGAGGTGGCACCTCCCCAGCAGCACAAATTTTCTTCTCCCCCACTCATCTGTTAAGGAATAGACCCCATCATCTGGCCACAGAATGGCCTGGGCACAACCTCCCGGCCAGAGGATGGCCCAGCTTCCCCAGGCGGGCAAGAGAGCAGTACCAGGGCTATGGCACATGTGAAGGGGCAGCTGAGACATGATCTGCAGTCATTAAAATCCCAGCAGAATCATGCCAAAATGGAAGGAGGTGGCAGGGTGCTCATGTCGCACCGTGCCCCTCGGTGCCTGCTGGGAAGCAGAAGGTGAGCTGGGGCACTGCAGGGACCAGCTTTGTCACTCTGTCAGGCTTGGCTGCTCAGGAATTCAAATGCCACCAACTGGATCTGCTTCATCTCCCACTGCTGGAAGAATTCAGCTTGTTAGGAGACCAGCAAACAAGCCTTGTGGATGCTCGCAGGATCCTCGCCATGCCCAGGCATGCTGGCACTTAGGCTCCAACTGAACCTGCTGTCTGCCCCAAAACACTTCTAGGGTCGCCAGGAATGCAGTAGGGAGGCAACTGCTGTCCTCACCCTGCTTCTGGCCACAAGCTCTCCGGCCCCACAGCCCCCTGACTCATCACTGAGACCTCCTGGCATGGCTCATAAGGTGATGGTTAAGGCATGCCAGGCGCCTGCTGAGTCGCTGTTTCAGGGCCAATGGCTGTGGGAGCAGTAGGAGAGGCTTTTCATGCCACCACTGAGCTTCCTGCTGGAGCAGGGCCAGGGGCTGAGCTCTCCGTGCTGCTCAGCAGCTCCTGGCTCCACCACAGAGATGTCCACTTCACGCCCCATCCACCAGTGTGCCATATGTATACAGCCATTGCCTGCGCCTGTCACCCACGCCTGCTGGAGGACCTCTTGCCTGCAACGCATAAAAAAAAAAGCCTGTAAAACCCAGCCGGGACTGAAAAAGCCATGGGGAGCAAGCGATGGGTCACCTGACAGATGCTCCCCCTCTTCTACCTTAGGGGCACCAGGCAGCCCCCTGAGCTGCCCTCCCTGCCGCTGGCCAGGGATGCACCCTCCAGGGATATGCCACTGGGCACTGCTGAAAAGCTGGGA